AATTGTCACAGTGTAACACCAAGTCAGTCAAACTTTAGGGAGATCAATCTGTCCATTAGAAAGCACAAGTGATTATGAATTTTTCAGCTGCTTTGGTGCAAATGAAAGTGACAACAGGTGCAATGGAGAGGCAAAAGCAAGACAACCCTCAACCAGGGAATGTTTTTACAAGTGGTGGCCACAGACAGTTGCTCTCCTTATCCTTCCTGACTGATTCTTCTCTAGTTTTGTGTTCTGTTAGTGTCTTTGTCACTACTGGTAGCATGAGGCTGCACCTACAGCCAAATCAGGCTGCACAAGTAGTCCAGCTCCTCCAGGATGGCACATCCATGCTGTGCAGTGGGCCCTGGGTTCCTCCTGGTGCTGGACAATGCCCAACCTCATGAGGCCAGGAAGTGGAAGGAAGTTCCTGGATGATGAAGGCATTGATGCCATTGACTAGCCCTCTTGTTCCCCTGACCTAAATCCAACTATCAGATAGAAAATTTTGTGTTTCCATTAATAATTATACATCTTCCTTTTCACAAGTATGGTGTGCCTCAAGGATCAATTCTGGGTCCTATCCTGTTTTCATTGTATATGCTTCCTTTGGGTGAGATCATTCGTAGGCATGGTGTTTCTTTTCACTGTTACGCTGATGACACTCAGTTGTATCTGCCCGTCAGGCCTGCAGATGTAAATGCACTGAGTTCTCTACAGGCTTGTGTTAAGGATTTGAGTTATTGGATGTCAAAAAACTTCCTTCAGCTCAACTCAAACAAAACAGAAATCCTTGTCATCGGTCCCCAAAAGATGACCAATCAAATACTGCCCTTTTGTGCCTTATTTGCACGATTTATTAAGCCTGTTGCTAAAAATCTTGGGGTCATTTTTGACAGTGAATTGAAATTTGAGCAGCATGTAACCAAACTTGTTCAGTCCTGTTTTTATCAGCTTAGAAATATTTTAAGAAGAAGACCAATTTTAAGTGATAAAAAGAAATAATTATACATGCTTTTATATCCTCTCGCCTTGATTATTGCAACAGCCTTTTTAGCTCTTTAAATAAAAAAACCTTGGCACGACTACAGACTGTCCAGAACTCAGCTGCTAGGCTTTTAACAGGATCAAGGAAGACCGAACACATCACTCCCATTTTAGCATCTTTACACTGGCTTCCTATTTCTTTTAGAATTGATTTTAAAATTTTATTGATCACTTTTAAAGCTCTTCATGGCCTGGCTCCAAGTTACATTTGAGATCTTTTAACCCCTTATGAACCTGTGTGCACCTTAAGATCCTCTGGCAAAGGTCTTCTGTCTATTCCAGAGTCTCGCCTGATAACAAAGCCTTTGCTGTCAGGGCCCCGAGGCTCTGGAATAACCTGCCCGAGGAATGAATACTGTCTGAGTCAGTGTCCATTTTTAAGTCTCGTCTGAAGACTTATTTTTATTGTAAAGCTTATCCTGATTTTGTTTAAGACCTGTGTCTTGTTTATTTATATGTTTTATTCTCTTGTTTTATATGCCTTGTTCTGTTTGAATTTGACTCTGCTTTTATTGTAAAGCACTTTGTACTTTGTTTGAAAGTTGGAAAACTTACTAAAACTGAGCTTCTATAAGGCAATGAATATTGCAGAGGGCGTGGCTCATCACATAAAGGTGTATAACATCTCAAGGGTTAGAGAGCTAATTTCTTATCTAGGCCTAACTGCCATATCGATTTTTACTAAACTTGGTAGATATGTAGAACAGGACGCCTCAAGGTGACTGGAGAAATTTATCTCTAATTGGCAATTGGGTGGAGCTATAACAACAGACTGGTATACCTGGTAACAGGTATGACTAAGTCATGGTATGGTATGCTGTACATAATCACGGAAACTGTCAGTGTGTCATTCTGTCAGTCACAGTCATTCTACCAGTGCCCCACTTTTAAGTCACTACAACATATAAACACTTTAACTATCTGCCTTTCAATGTGCTATCTCAACTACTAATGTACAGTTTTAGCCCACTAACTATCCCACTATTGGCAATGGTACTGCTGTACTCTCAATAAAGCAATCATACTATCAAATTCACAAAAACTCTGTCTGAATACATTGCTCTTCTTAATGGGTTCAGTTGACTATTTTACCTGCAGTTTCCTATGACCTGTATCCCAAACACACACCATGTGAAACTGTACGTGGGCAACTGTGCACTCAATGGGTATGGACTAGTTATTACTATTATTATTAACTGAGCACCTATGAGACTTTATGTATTGGTGCATTCGACTCCACCAAGTACCGTTACAGACTGTCCAGGAGCTCACTGATACCCTGATCCAGGTCTGGGAGGAGGTGCCCCAGGATGCCATCCATCGACTCATCAGGAGCATGCCCAGAAGTTGCCAGGAATGTATACAGGCACGCAGGGGCTGCACAAACTACTGAGTCACATTATGAGTTGCTGTGATAAAATTCACACAAGTTGGATCAGCCTGTGATTTCAAGTTTTTACTTTGATTTCGGTGTGATTTTGAATCCAGCCCTCAGTCGGTTGATGATTTTGGTTTCCATTGACTGTTGTTACATCATTTTGTTCTCATCAAATTACACAGTTTACTTCAGTAAAGATTTTCAACTTGAATAATCTGATCTTAATTTTTTTGAGGAGTGTATTTGTAGTTTATTTTACACATGGGTGGATTACTTAACAGGCCTACTGGGCACAGGCCAAGGGGCCCAAAGTATCATGGCTCCCCCAGCCTTCACCTGCCTTCACTTTCATCACTCAAATTAACACATACTGACCAGGAACAGATTCAAAATGACCACAAAGAGACACAAAATGACCAAAAAAGACCCAAAATTACAGGACACAAAAAACCAACACCAAGGAGACTCTAAACAACCACAAAAAAGAGGCAAAACCACCACAAAGTCTGTGTGTCTTGCCCCATATGAGAGTTGGTGGGGCCTATTATCCGCCCATGATTATACAATAAAATAAAATTACAGTGGGTCACCTCTAATAAATGCGTTCATTTATATCAGTGAAAGACTTTGGGTGTTCAATGAGAAATCAGATGTATAAAAGCGGGTTTTTGGCTGCCTAAAATAATGTGTCCATTCCTTGATTACCCTTTAAGTTATTCATATTTCTTTAGGGTTAGGGTTAGGGGTCCTCAGATCAAAAGAATCAGTTCTTTTTTTTCATTAAAATCTATCCAAGTTGTGAGCATTGTTTATAGCAATATAGGCCTGCTGATTTCAGTAGGCCTATATTGCTATAGGCCTGCTGATTTCAGTAATTTAAGCAAATAATAGCATTAATTGAAGTTTACGGTACATACAAATCACTTAATGTTGTACCACTTAACTTTGGCAAGTGGTCACAGGGAAAAAGAAACACCGGAGATGAAGATCCATAATATTTGTAGTTTATTATACACATGGATAGATTACTGAACAGCAAGACACTGACACTTCGGCTCCCCCCTTGACCTTCACCTGCAAAGTATCATTCAAATTAACACATACTGATCAGGGACAGACTCAAAAGAACCACAGAAAGACACAAGGAGATACAAAGGAACCGCAAAGAGACACAAAATGACCAAAAAGGCCTAAAATGATCTGAGACACAAAACAACCACAAATAAGAGCAAAACCACCATAAAGCCTGTGTGTATTATCCGCACGATTGTACAGTAAAATAAAATTAAAGTGGGTCACCTCAAATGCTATCATTTATATCAGTGAAAGACCTTGGGTGTTTAGTGAGAAATCTGTAAAAAGAAATATCTACCCACTGTAAATTAAATTAAAAGCCTATTCCCAGGTTAATGCCCAGTCCCTTTTACTAGCCCGCTGTGGCTACACGTTTTGACAAATAAATGCCTGTCTCAATTTGACGCCTGGTCTGGTTACCAAGCAGTTCATTTCTTTTAAAGAAGTTCTTCCAATGTATAAAACCAGGTTGTTGGCTACCTCAAATGATGTGTCCACTCCTTGATTACCCTGTAAATTAGTCATATTCAGTCCATACAGGTCCTCAGATCAAAAGAAAAGAAAACAAAAGAAAGGTTTATTCATAAAAATTTATCCAAGTTGTGAATATTGAGACTACAAAGAGACACAAAACCACCACAAAGTCTGTGTGTCTTGCTCTTATGTAGGAGAGATGGTGGGGCCTTTTGCGAATCTGTGCTCAGGGGCCTAAAATCTGCTCAGTACAGTGGGTCACCTCTCACAAATGCTATCACTGATATCAGTGAAAGACTTTGGGTGTTTAGTGTGAAATCTCTAGAAAGAAATATCTGTCCATTTGTATTATTTGCGCCTTTGTGTTCTTTCTTTATTTACATGGCTTTTCACTTAAACAGGGTAACTGATATCAAAACTTCATTGTAACCATTATTATATAGACCTACTGTACATTGGCCAGATTAGCTGAATTATTATCGTATATCACATTGTTGTAGCTGAATATTGTCACGTGTGGTCAACATATACATTAACACTGCCTCTCCTATCTCTGCAGAGCTGTAAGCAGTCATTGGCTGAGGAGAGAGACTTATGTCTTTATCTGCTTTGACCATGTCCTGTCCCCTCCCTCATTCACATATTCAGCAGGAGCCTATAGTAACTATATGACTTATGACCATGGACATGTGTCAGGCTGAGAGATGACACTCATATTCAGAGGTGGTGAGGCTCCAATAATCACTGAACCACTGAAATAAAAATAAACAGGGGATGTAAGTATCGGTGTTAAACCTGTAATTTCGCAGAGACTAAGATTTGTAGTCTTTAAAGTAGGGAATGACCATTTGCATAATTTAAACCTGAGTTGTAGTTTTACCTTCTTTTGAAGTTAGTTTTTAAAACACTGCACACAAGAGCACACTTCAAAAACTGAAACGAAAGTAGGAGGGAGATTTTTATGAACAAAAGGGACATTTTAAAATGCCAGCTGTCATATGAGACAAAAATAAGCTAATAAGTTGGAAGTATTCGTTACAACTGTGAGTGAGCAGCAGCACAGTCGCTGTTGCTGAATCGTTGCGGCAATAAACAGTTGAGCTGTACAGAGCAGACCTACAACATCCGGGCAATACTCAGCTTGCGCAGAAACGGAATGGCGGAGGTAAGTGAGCGAAAACGAGGAATGTAACGACTCAAATGATACAAAAACCGGCCCGAATTTAACACTTGTGTCACTCCGTATTGCACACAAGAGTGTGGACGGTTTCTCCGGCCGGTGAACGCCGGCTGAAAGAGGGCTACGGGGGCTTTTTAACCGGGAAGCGGAGGGAGAAATGGAGAACCTCTCCAGCGTATCGCCTCTCTCCGCGTTCTTAGCTTTAAAGAGCCATTCCCTCCGCCTTGATAGTAAATCCGTAGAAAACAATAGGGAGCCCGGCGGGGTCTAACACGGTGGTGCTGATCAGGTGCGCCCCGGCGACGGAGTGGACTGAGTGAAAAAGTTGGGAGAGATGTCACGACTTCGCGGCGGTAAACTCCGACAGTCTCTTTCGGAAATATTCACAACTAGTTATTTCCTTCTCGTGCTGCTCACTAAGCCGAGGAGAGGAAGAGACGTTCAGCACCAGTCACAGGAAAGCGCCCGTGGTCACACACACAGCACCCGATGGGCTGGGAGAGGCACACTGGACTTTTGCAACTTATTTACTCAGGACTTGTGTCTGTAGGGGTTTAATGTAATTCAGTGACCAGGGTAGGGCTGCTTACATCCTCTCACACCCTGCTCTGGAGCAAGATTTTCACTTCTGTATGAAACTCTTCTGTGGCCTCAACTTGCATGTCTTCATCAAAGACACATGTCCCACTTTGACTTGCTCTTTTAGCTCAAAGCCTGTACTGGAAACATGCTGACACAGGAAAATGTGATGTAAAAACTGTCAGCTGTTTTGATTTTAGGAGGTATATTCCATTACTGCAATCCCCAAAACCCAAATCTGTAGAGTTGTCTGATTATTCTGCATGCGATTAAGTTACAAGTGAATTGCAGACTCTTTAAATGCTGCTTATAAGTCTCATAAGTTACAAAAAGGTGGTTTAAATGTCAAGAGTCAGCTGATCTGTAATGGGATGAGCCAGGATCAGCCACTATGTGATCCCTCATGTTGTGCACGAATGTCATGGGCGCACAGAGGAATGTGCTGCCATGTTACAGTGCATCCACATGATGTTGAATGTCCTTTTGTGTCTGCAGGTGGGCGACAAGCCCCTGAAGATAATAAGCGTGGAGGTCGTGGCCTAGTGGAGAGTGGACCAGGTACAGTGATGAAGGCCCTCAGCAGGAGAAGCAGAAACCCTAACTGGCCTTAGAGAAGTCGGAGGAGAACTTTCGCCCCATGAAGATGGCAGCACAGTCCCACACTGTACGGTCAAGTTCAGCAATGTCCGCACATGTTAAAGTTAGTTGCTGTGTGAAAGCCACCATCTGTTTTACAGGATAATTTTCTGCATCACCTACACACCTACTGTCACAATATTCTTATTCTGACTACTGAAAATGGTGACTGAAAACACTGAAAAATGTAATTAATGAATTTAATATTGACTGTTGTGTTTTTGAAGTTGCTTTTAAATTGAAGTAAATTAGGTTTACAAGATATATAGATATAGATATAAAAGAAATAAGTCAGCCAGAGGTTTTCATGCAACTTTTTCTGTACTGAAGTTGCACCGGTGCCATTTACAGTACATATTTCATAACCACCTGACAGTGCATCTATGCCATAACAGTTAAAAAGCTCTGTGTCAGAGCCCACAGTAAGACCTGACCCCTAAAAAAACACAACAACAACAAACAAAAGAGCTCCACACTTCACATAACATCATATTTTTTTGTGTGTAATGTGAAAACAGCAGCAGCAGTTAAAGCTGGAGTAGGCAAGAATCTGGAAAAGGCAGACTTTGAAAATACACCCTCTTGCACCTCACCTCTCTGTCCTGATCCCCTTCCAAGCAGAAGGGAGACAGACCCTCTGTCAGCGGGTGAAGCGTCTTGATTTCGGCCAGCACAAGCCAACAGCATCGGTCAGCAGCAGCGCTGAGTCTAACCTGTGTAAAGGCAGCAACAGAAAAATGCTGATCTGGCGGCAAGTTGGGGCGGTCTGGTCCCCCTGAGTTGGAGTTTGCACTGGCTGGCCATTGAATCAGGCTTTTACCGACAGGACATGCACCTGCGTCTGCATTTATAGAACAACTAATGGGAACTCCCTCTTTTTAAAATGACCTGTGATTGTCCAGAGTCTTTTGTCACTATTTTCTAGTTCCTGAAAACACAGCCAAGAGGAGGCGTAAAAGTTTAGTTTTCTCCAAGTCCGCTTGAATTACAACATGCTCAAAGTTTGTTATGGGATTTTTTGCCCAGTGACACTAAAATGAAACTGCCTACCTCAGCTTTACCATTTAAGATTATAGATTTGTTTCTTACACCTTCCTATGGCCTTTGTCACAAAATGCAAAGTTAACCATCTTTTCCAATTTGGCAAACGTGGCTAAACAGAGTATTAATTAGTCATCTTCCTAAATTGCATGCATCAGAACAAACCTCCTCTGGAAACCATGCTTAGGAAATTATATTAAACACACAGCTCTTGATTTTCACATCTGCCTTAACAACCCAAATCTGACTGATAGGAAAAGAGCTGTTCTGGGTTTTACTCTGCAAAGATTTTGAGATAGCATTTTGGAAATGTTTTACCTGTTTGATTATGACTCTGCAAACTGAATGGCAGCTATGGAGATTTTTTGGCAAAAGAGGAAAGATGCCCAGAGTGTCGATGAGATCATTGAACTGATGAGGCTTTAATCTCGGGAAATGAGATTCATGGGAATACACGTCCAAATTATTTCCTGTTACTTTAGAAATATAATAACAGAAAAAGTGGAAAACTAGATACGTTGTAGGCATAAACCAAATACACTGATATGTACAAAAAATTGTATCACTACAGAAATACATAAGTCCTTTACATGAGTTCTTTACATCCTCCAGTGTGGATACACTACACAGAGTCGGCAGAGATGCAAAACCTTTTGGCCCACCAAATTCATCCATTGAAGGCTTTACCATCTAAATCAGGCTAACACGACATGATCTGCCATCAGCTCCGGTAGAAAGACTTCAAAAGACTGAACAATTAAGAGCAGATATAGAATCCATCTCAACTTAACACAGTAGTGACTTTAAAAAGTTACTTGCGATAACAAATGAAAAATTTGTTGTATATAACTTCCATGTGGCTGTTTTCAGAAGACGGATTACAGGCAAATTTAAGTTGCATATTTTTTTTAAAAAAAATTTAATTTAATGAATAATTTTTGGGCTTTTTTGCCTTCATTATAGTGCAGCTGGAGATTGACAGAAAAGTGGAAACAGAGAGGGGGAATGACATGTAGCAAAGGGCTGCAGGTTGGAATCCAACCCAGGTTGCTGCAAAGTACTCAGCCTGTATAGAGCGCCCACTGTGCCAGATCAGCTAAAGGTCGCCCACATATGAAGTTTATGTTACTTTTATTCTAATATAGATTAACATAAGTGATGTTATTTTGGCTTAATGATTAATAATACCACTCAATAATACACTAAAGCAGTCAGGCTGGGAACCCTAAGGTTTATTTTCTCCTTGTTGCACTTAGTGTTGCTTGAAATATGACCAGTGTGTTTTGACTACAGCTGAAGTCATAATTTAAAAACAAGTCTGTTTCACAGGACTCCCGGGATTGTGTGCTCCTGCTCTTGCAACAATTTTTTTTTCTCAGAAATATGTAATTAACCAAATCATCTCCCTCTACCTGCTGCTGTCTCTCTCTGTAACTCTCTGTAGGCCAGTGAGCTTCCTTTGGAGGAGCTGCTGGCTCTGTACGGCTACACAGTGTCAGATCCAGAGAAGGAGACCTGTCACGTGGCTGCCAGCCTGCCAGGCATGACACTGGACAAGGTGAGATGCAATGCCAAGAATGCAGAGAATTAGAGAACAGTTAAATTCTAAAATATTATATACTAATATATTTATCAGTGTAATCTGTGTTCTTTGCTGTCCTATTGCTATAATGTGCAGCCCTATTATTCTTAATTTGTTTTGTCCAGGATCAGATAACTGAGGATCTCTTTCCTGGGGAGGAGGAAGAAGAATCATCAGCAGATGATCTCACCCCCTCAGTCACCTCAAACACCTCAGATCTGCTCCGCCGCCTCCAAGGTAAAGCACATAGACGTTTATTTACACACGACCATATCATATGACTTTTTAGATTATCTCAACAAAGAAAAGGTAGAAAATGGAGGTTCAACTTCATAAATTAACCTCCCATATGCACACTCACAGCCTTTTTCTGATGAAACTGTGGAGCTGCTCTGAAAGAAAGGATCGTCCCTACAGCCTTTGTTTTTGGTGGAATATTTTCTCATACTTTAATTTTAATTCAGTGCTTTGCTGAGACTGCACCATGTTACTTACAGCCAGGCGGTGCACTTCAATAACATGACATGTCAGAGTTTATAATATCAGGAAATTACATGAAAGCTTCGATTTATTTATTTCTGTATAACGTAATATGGGTATGGCAGCATGCACTGCATGATGTGTCTCTTTCTGTATGACTGAACGATGTCAAAGACACTCAAACATTTATGAATTGAGGGAGTTTAAATGTATTTACTTGCCCCTGGTAGTGATCGTATTGATGCTGAGTCCACAAAATATAATGAAAACCAAATATATGACAGGTATGCCGCTTTTTTCTCCGCTAGATTAACTGAGCACACAGTTTCTCTAAAGGTAAAATGGAGGAGGGGGGCTTTGTTCCTTTCTGGTCACTGCTTTAACCTGAATTATATTCTTTATTGATTTATTGCACTTTTCATTTTTATTTTATTATGTGTGTTTCACTTGAGATTGGGATTTGCTCATTGAATAATGGTTAATATTGAACAAAAGAATGAAACAAATCTGAACCTTGAAATGCTGTTTAAAAAAGTTATATTGATGGATTTGACTTTAAGGTAGTTCAGTATTAAATTAAAACACAAAGGCCTGATAAATGAGCTGAACATTTTAAAATGGATCATAACATCCACATGGATTTGCCTGACACTCCTGTCTGATGTTTTGTCTCTCAGGCGGAGACAAAGACACATTAGTCAGCTCATCCGATGAGGACTCTGACGATGCCTCTATTCCCTCCAATGAAGAGCACAAGGTAAGCCACTGAGGGCAATAACACACATCTCCTGACCACTTTAGACAGCACGTTACAAAGCAAATGACAAAAGATTATGTTTTATGAGTTACTTCCTCTCCATTGGTGTGTCTGTTTTACATTGACAGCCCCAATAGCTGTACACATCCTTTCTTTTCGCTATACTGCTACATAAACACATTTCTTCCTTTATCATTGAGTATAATTCATGTACTGTATGAATATCCAATATTAAATTCCCAAGACCACTCAGCTGGACAAACTGAACCCAGGACCATTAGCCAGTAGCCAGTAACATGTTGGCTTTGATTGTATTGTCAAGTTGGCAGATCTTCCCGAAGAACCCTACCACACAGCAGCATGTCAGCCTTTATGAGCATATATGACCCATTTCAGCGCTATGACAGACTTTGTGTTTGATTTCATTCTCAGGAGATCATGGTTGGCTCTAAGTACCAGGCAAAAATCCCTCCACTCAGTTCATGTACCTACCAGGAGAGAGGTAAGCAACAGAAAAGACCTTGTGTTGCTGGAGTCAGGGCATGTGTCCACATGTTGTTTTTCTTTGGTAGAGAAGCAGTGGTGGGGTGCTGGAAAATGCATCATCCTAGGGCCTCATAAAAAAGCACTCTCAGTGCTTTTATTTAACGATGCACTATGTGAGGATGGGTGGGCGATATGGCCCTAAAATAATACCACGAAATGTCAGGGTATTTTTGTGATGACGATATTCCTGAGGATATGACAAATTAGTCAGTTTTTTTTATTATGTATTTAAGAAAATAGAATTGCAACAAATAAGTGATATAGTTTTACAGTTTGCCTTCAAATACTGTATTTAGCAAAAACTAAACAATAATGATCTCTAATTTCTTTTGTTTGTAAACAACAACAGTAACTCAGAGTGAGATTCAGATTCTGTATACAATATTAATAGTTCAACAAAATTAAATCGACCACAAATTACACATTTAAACAGCTCCCCAATACAAAAAATCTATATATATAAATCAACAGGTGATTTTCTTCTTTTTTAAATGACTGAGTTGTTTTTTTCCCACCTGGACCTTTATGCTCTGCCATTTTCCTCTAATCATCACGCTGTAACCTGTGACAGGCTATTATGCTACCAGAACTATCACACATTCACATATATGTAGTTTTTTGTTGAGTCTTGAGCATCACGTAGGTTTACATTACCAAAGGTTTATGACAAAATCACGTGACAACACCAACTCCTGTATTTGCATCGTGAGAGAGGAGAGGGAGAGACGCTGTGCTGCTGCCAGAGGAGCTGCTGAATGAGTTCCCTCTGAGTGCTGACTCACTAAAAGAGTCGAGAAGTCCGGGGCTGTTCATAAAACATTCAGGGCGCCACAGTTTATTCCACACTACTGAATCTGCTCCTCTTTTTGGAGCCACCGCGGAGTCGGAAATGATTTTGCTTTCAGCCATGCTTGTTGTTGCCGTGGGCAACAGTATGACATCAGTATGTCAACAATCCAAAATATCAGTATCACAGTATGAATTTTTTATATCATATTAAAAATGATACCAGTATTATCATGAGCGAGATGATTTGGCACACCCCTATATGTGAGGATTTTGTTTCTATGACAACAATATTTTGACATTAGATATTAGCTAGGTAGCTAACAGAGGGTTGACTACACAGTTAACTTAGAACACCAGCGATAAAGCACACTCATCAGTGACATTTGGTGTCCAGCGAAACTGCTCCCATAAATTAAATTTTCTGTCTCTGTGTGATCATTTCTGACTCACAGCTTTGGTCAGACAGTAGCTAAAGGAGTGGCAGGGACAACACCAGCGCCTTTTGAAAAGTTCAGAGATTTTCAATTAGAGGTGCTCAGAACGACCTCACAAGAAAGCTGGAGCATGCTGAAAAAAGCGCTAGACGCAGCAATTTTTCCCTAGTCGGCCGCATATGCTCTCTCCTTGTTGGAAACTATTAAAAAAAGACGCTGGGGCTCAAAAGAAAGTGCTTTGTGGACACATGCCATTAGAGACAAGTTAAACTGCCATTTTATAAAGATTAAGTCTAACACGTTGTATGACATAATGATTAAAGCAACTCTGTGTAGAATTTGACAAAAAAAATTTCCAACCTCTCATCTTGTTGCTCTGCTGCTTCCACTGCATTTCCCCTCATTCTGTACCTCTTTCCTTGATCCTCTAGCCTGCATCAGTGAGGACCAGCTGCTGTGGAGGCCAGGTGTTCTGCCTGTGCAGGAAGTAGAAGAGTTCTTGCTGAATGCACAGAGAACCTACGGTCAGGAGGGGGCGGCATACACACAAACACACGGGGACACTGTCCGAGACAACCAACAGGTAGAGGAACTTTAAATTACATCCCAGAAGACACTGTTAATTATGTTAAGTGTGTATGTAAGTGTATGTCTGTGCTCTCAACTGTAGGTACATGTCTTTACTGCCCACCTACACTACTGAAGGACCATTAAGAAATGCACTAAGCATTCTGACCCATTTCACTTATCCTCCTTTTCTCTTGACCCTCAGGCACTGTATGAACTAGTGAAATGCAACTTTAATGCAGAAGAGGCACTGAGACGATTGCGCTTCAATGTGAAAGTGTTCAGTGGTAAGAACTGTCATCATACCTGCTATTAAACTTATTTATCTTCCACTTAAAATCATGACAAACATAATAGCTGATAAAATATCTCTCAAAGTGTAAAATAGTTTAATGTTATCTGATTAAATTTGCCAGTGTTTATAGTGTCAGTATATTTCTTAACATTACTTAGTTACATTTCACAGCTGTAGCACAAATGAAATCCCTGCTCGCTTCCCTGAACAAGGATAAACTGTAACTCAGTGATTCCCATAGCGGGGAGGTGTGCCTCCTCTGGGATCACTGGCACTGAGGAGAGACCATAGAGTACTGTGTTTCCAAATATTAGCATCAGCCAAAATATTTGAGATGCAGTTGGGAGACTTGACATCCAGAACACAAGCACTTGTATTTCTTCAGAGAAAAAACTTAGCGGTCTTAAAGGGATACTTTGCCGATTTTCAAACAGCTTTGTATAGTAACTGTGGATGTTACGCGTAAATGAACTGTGGTAAACTTGCCTCCATCTTACTGACACCCAGATCTCCCTGCTCCTTTCCCAGCTCAAATCTGCTGGATGATGCAAAATGTGTCATCAAGCAGATTTTCGCTGGCTCTAGGGCTGTTGCTCAAACTACAGACTGTCCTTTTGCATTTTTTGCATGCCTGCCACCACAGACACAAAGAGTATAAACGTGGATTGAGAGAGAGAGACCCGCCCCTTTCTCTCAAACTCACATCAAACTGTAAAACTAGGCATTCATTCATTCATTCATTCATAATCTGTAACCGCTTATCCTGTTAGAGGTCGCGGGGGGGGGGGCTGGAGCCTATCCCAGCTGACATTGGTGAGAGGCGGGGTACACTCCGGACAGGTCACCAGACTGTCACAGGGCTGACACAAAGAGACAGACAACCATTCACACTCACATTCACACCCATGGGCACTTTAGTCACCAGTTAATGTAACCTGCATGTTTTTGGACTGTGGGAGGAAGCTGGAGTACCCCGAGAAAACCCACACTAATGCTCTTGCTGAGAGGTGACAATGCTAACCACTGCATCACCGTGCCGCCTTAAAACCAGGCAGTGCTAATCAATGATATATATATATCAATCAATATCAATTATAAACCAAGATTCTGGTACTATACTGCCTATTACTCATCTAAAATGTCTTTAGAAACATATTTTAGTGCACAGTTTGGCTGTAGTAGTAGAATTTGTGAACAAGAAGTGGGTGCCATACTGTTTCCTGTTTTGTAAAAATGCAGTCTGAAAATACTGAGATCAAATTGTAAACTAAGCAGTGTTGATGAAATATGAAACAAGATTATGTTACTGTGTTGTCTATTTCTAGTCTAAAATGTTTTCAAAAACAAATTTTAACTTACTGTTTAACTGTAATTTGAGATTGTTTGTTACCGTTTGGCAGCCATATTGTTTCCTGTGGAAAAACCCACCAGTGGGAGCATTTATTGGTCCGCTGCAGCACAGTGCATTCTTGTAGTAGGTTTTCTGTCTCTTGAGCAAAAGCAAATGCCACAGCCATCTCTTTCTTTGGTCATGTAGCACTAATTTTAAAAGTATTTGCTTCTTTCTACTGCATAGACAACCCAGATCTATGAAAAGACCATCTTTCCAGCAGTTAAATACTTCCTTAGCACCCTTAGTTGTATTATTTGCACTGTCTGTTGAAGCTTAATGGATCTTTAGAAAAATAGCAAAACTCACAAAATGATTTTCCGAGATTCATGTGACTATGGCTTAGCTGTTGTTCCCGAACCATGGACAGGGCTGTTTGACGTGTGTAGGTTTGGCGCTGTCCGTAGTACTGAAATGGAGCAGAAAAGATCGATAGACAGAAAGACAGACAGAACATGTCACTTAGTTCGTTTGATCACACAGAGAATGGTACATAAATTAAAAATATTGAGTGCTCTGCCCCCTCGCAGTTTTTAACAGCCCCCTCAGTCACCTCATCTCGGCACCAAGTCTTATGGGGTATAAAGCAACGTGCGACAAAAGCCGAGTCCGTCCTTATTCCAGCTGTTGATGTGGTTTAAAACTGAAAGCTATCCCTCAGTCAAAAAGCAGCATTGCATATACTATGGAATAAGGTGTATTATGGGTTGTATTATGGGTTTTTTATGCAAAAATAATAAGGAGCAACTTGTCAGCAAAAATCAGAAACAGATGAATGGATAAACGAATAAAGTAACTGACAGGAGCAAAGACCTGTTTTTTGATACCTGTGTCAGATTTGTTGATGCAGATGTTGTGAAGGAGGATTACTGTGGGTTTAAATCTCACACCTTTGAAAGAATCTGATCTGAAACTGCAGTCAGGGGACGCACTGTATTATATAAAGAGTGACACCAGCTGAGTCCGGAGTTGAGCTATGTAATGACAAAGTGTAGGATGAGATTATATTCTTCTTGGAAAATTAAAGCAATGAACTTACTCAAAAGTGCTATTTCAGAAACTCCTTCCACACACCTTCCACAGCTTGTACATAAAATCATATTCTTCACAAAGAAACAATACATTTGGGGGCAATGAGTAAAAGTGGAAACCATAGACTCATTTGGGAGCCAATCATTGAGGTCAGTAAACAGCAGGACCCATATCTGAGCCCTACAAAAGCATTTCCGCCAGAGGATACTACAGTATATGAAAGTATCTGACACCCTGTCAAAGCAACAGCAGCTGCCGACTCCAGCAGTGCAGAGGAGGAACAGTTCACCAATGTGACCTCATGATCTCTTATTTTGGAAGGATTTAGCAGTGACGGTTGCAGAATGCAACCACTGAAACTTCTCCCAGTTAAAATTCCTTAATGATTTGTCATTCAGGAGGGTTTTACAGGGAGCGGAATTATATGTCTCCAACATAGACTGTATAATATAATGAACGTCGCACCATGACGTCACCCATTGGTTTGTGGCCTGCCATCTTGAAGCCTTGAGTTGCCATCTTGTTTTTTTGGAGCATGTATTACTCATGTAAAGTTGGGCATTATGGGGATTTACTCTGTTTTGGAGCCAGCCTCAAGTGGTCGTACGGTGAACTACAGTTTTTGGCACTTCAGCACTGGCTTCATTTTTCAGCCTCAGAGGCTGCCATTTTGTCTTCTACTCTCTATAACAAGTGTACCTGGTGATTTAACCCCATGGGCCCGAACGACGCATAGTGCGTCCAAATTCACACCTGTTCTTCTCTATGGATTTTCTCCGCCACGCATATCACGTTAAACAACGGAACTGTAGCTTTCCGACAAGACCAAGCACTTGTCAGTAGTCCAATGTTTTCACAGCGAAAAAAAATTATAAAGTTACACTAACATTATGTATAACAAAGCTTTCATACAGCTTTGCACACACATTACTCTTGGATGGATTACTTGCAAATGCAGGGTCGCACAGAAATACCACACATATCACATGAAAGTGCAGGAGCAGAGCTTTCCAGTGATAACACACACATCATTGTGCTGTCATCCCATCACGCTGTAAATCCAGATCAGTTGTCTACAGAATAAAAACCTGACGAATTTCTTTACAATCCATTATACAGATCTTATCAGTCACTTCATATAGTGAGGAATATCGTATCTTACCACGTCTTAGGCTTGTGTGTGTTTCTACCTGTCTATCCACATTTGTAGTCCAGCTTTCAAGATGCAAATATCTCCATACTGTCCAGTTGACACAGAAGAACAGGTGTGAATTTGGACGCACTATGCGTCGTTCGGGCCCATGGGGTTAAATCACCAGGTACACTTGTTATAGAGAGTAGGAGACAAAATGGCAGCCTCTGAGGCTGAAAAATGAAGCCAGTGCTGAAGTGCCAAAAACTGTAGTTCACCGTACGACCACTTGAGGCTGGCTCCAAAACAGAGCAAATCCCCAACTGCAGCCTAATTATGCATGCATGACAGGGCCGTAGTCACCATATACATTGAGGGGGACATGCCCCCCCCCCCCATACCCAAAATGTCCCCCCAATATATAACTAAAACTGAAAAACAAATATTATCTTGGAGGACATCATTGCACTTGGTTGACTATTTTTCTATGATCTTAGATGTGAATATTGCATGTTTCTTTCAGATAAAACACATTTTTGACTTGTGAATGAGTCAATGGAATTTCTTGCAATAATGAAAAAATGCTGGCAATCATGTCTGCCTGGCACAAACCACATGTTTTGGACAACTGTAAAGTGACAGAATGTCCCAGCATCATGGTTCTTATATTGCCAGATTCCAGAGAGTCTCCCCTCTTCATATATGGCAGAATATGTCAACTTCCAACTTGCTATGCTGAGATAGATGTAAAAATGTAAGAATTTAGTCACACAGATTTGTTTTTTTCATTGATATAAAAATTAATATAAAATACAGGCACATAGAAGGACATGGAATGATGGCAAATCTGGATAGCCCAGATTGTCTTGAAAAAAAAGAAGATATAGCATGTGTATGTAGCCTTTATAATGACTGTGATATGAGCTTAAAAGTAAAGGCTTTACTTTACCCCAAGAAGGCCTAGGGGCCAATAGGGTTAAACTGGTAAAAACACTGAATAAATCAGTTTCACATTACATGTCAGTGTTTCTCTGATGCTGTTTAGCTCGTCAGAGAGCAGCCGCTAGCCCAGCACCAGCTAATGCGTGCTCACCTTTTTTCTTCAGTGACTTAACATCCAGACATTCAGGTTTTTACCAGGAGCAAAATTATCCACAGAGGTCTCTTCCTCTCCAAAACAAACAGACCTGGACGATATTAAACCACTAAAGACACTGAATAAAGCAGTTATGTTGAACATCAGTGTTTTTCCGATGCTGCTTGTCGTGGAGGGGCTGCTAACTACCTTGGCCAGTGTTTGGTTTGTCCATTCTGGGCCACTGTAGAAAGATGACAATGTAACATGGTAATCTCCTCGAACAAGGACCAGCTCCCTATGTAGATATAAACAGTAGGGCTGTCAACGAATATTCTAAATTTGAATTTAAATTCGAATTTGAAAAAAAAATGGACCCTCGAATGTGAAAAATGATATTCGATTGTGGAGAAAAAAAACCCCACCACCGCAGCTGTCCTCTTTGCGAGTGGGCGTTGGCATCAGACACGCATTTCTCCAGCCTGGTCGACAAGCGGTTCTACTCCCAGCTGTTGTCTCCGTCACCCGACTTGACACATTCACTCGCGGCTCGCGCAGAAAATAGACCAGACGCCGAAACGATCACTGTACGGTCCGGTGCTTCGAGGCTATTCGCAGCGCTTCCGCGGGCGGTGTGGCCACAGGTCAGAGAGGGGGGGCGAGCGAGAGGTCCGCGGTCGTTTATAACGTAATGTTATAGATAATTGTTTTATGTGTTTTAATGTGTAGGTATGTAAATGTTTTCAAAGACGTTAATGTTGAAATAAAAATACCTACAAGTAGTTATATTTCCTTGTATTAATACATATACAAGTATGTTTCCTTGTATTAGTTTGCCCTCTTGTGGACATAATGCAAAAAAAAAAAATTTGAATGGTTCGAACCTATGAGTTATTTTTAGAAGGAATATTCAAACGTCATTTTTGAGCAATGTTGACAGCCCTAATAAACAGCTCATTCTAAGTTAACAAAACATAACAATTTTTATTTTCAAGTGATTACACATTAAAGAAAATTGTATTATTGTATTATATTCCATTCCTGCCAACAAACCCCCCTAAGTCCAACACACTGGATCTTTAAGTCTATGATTTTTGCTGTAGTATGGATAGGGGTGAAAGAAACTGCTCCCTGCTGCCACATTACATCCAGTTTTTCCTGCAGCTGGCTCAATCAGTCAAAACCAGGCACTGAATGGCAACTGAAAGCCCTACTTTGTCATAATCTACAGTATAAAGGTGTTATTGCATTGCATTCATTTAAAAAAAAATGTAAAATGAAAGCTTACTATGAAAAACCTGTGCTGTGCTATCTATGAAATAAAATCCTCCCGGTGCTTCCCCTCTCTTTAGAAGAGCTTTGTGCCTGGAGTGAGGAGGAGTGCAGGAGCTTCGAGCACGGCTATCGGGTTTACGGGAAAAACTTCCACCTCATTCAGGCTAATAAGGTGAGTGCTCAGCTGAATCTCTCCTGAGGTTTGATGTTCTAATCTGAATGATGATCTACCTGCTGTACCCTTTTGAATATTTGATGGGATGTTTTTTTGTTGCTCAAAACAAAAGTGTTTTTCACCCCCTCAGGTACGAACGCGCTCCGTCGGGGAGTGTGTGGAGTATTACTACATGTGGAAGAAGTCTGACCGCCATGAGTACTTTACCCAGCAGGCCACCAGGCTCAGCCGCAAGAAGTACAGTCTGCAGTCAGGGAGCATGTGAGTATTACTGAAACACTAATGGCAAGACTTATAGTCTAGTCAAGATAACTGTGTAGGATAAATAAATATACAGTGCTAAAAAAATTAAGGGAACACTTAAATCTCACATCAGATCTTGATGAATGAATTAGTCAAGTTGAAAATCTTTACCAATGTACACTGTATAATGTGTTGAGAACAAAATGATGTAACAACAGTCAGTGGAAACATAAATCATCAACCCACTGAGGGCTGGATTCAAAATCACATTGAATCACGGCAAGTGACTCAGTAGTGTGTACGACCCTCACATGCCTGTATGCGCTCCCAGCAGCATCTGCTCCTGATGAGTCGGCGGATAGTGTCCTGGGGCATTTCTTCCCAGACCTGGATCAGGGCATGAGTGAGCTCCTGGACAGTCTGTGGGGGTACTTGACCGTGTCGGGTGTCCCATAGGTGCTCAATTGTACTTAGGTCAGGGGAATGAGAGGGCCAATCAATGGCGTCAGTGCCTTCATCATCCAGGAAATGCCTACACACTCTGGCCACATGAGGCCGGCCATTGTCTTGCACCAGGAGAAACCCAGGGCCCACTGCACCAGAGTAAGGTCTGACAATCACTCTTCAAGGTTCCATCCCAGTACCTATAACAGCAGTCAGGGTACCGTTGGCTATGACATGAAGGTCTGTGCCATGCTCCAAGGATATGCCACCCCAGACCCACTACCAAACCTGTCATGCCAGATGATGTTACAGGCAGCATAACGTTCACCACGGCATCTCCAGACTCTTCACAAATGGTGGACCTGCTAACTCTAGTGTCCTCTGGTGAATGCCATTCGTGCTGCACGGTGCTGGGCTGTGAGCACAGGTCCCACTAGAGGACGTCAGGCCCTCATGCCACCCTCATGGAGTCTGTTTCTGACAGTTTGGTCAGAAACATGCACACCAGTAGCCTGCTGGAGCTCATATTGTAGGGCTCTGGCTGTGCTCCTCCTGCTCCTCCTCGCATATAGGAGCAGATACCGGCCTCGCTGCTGGGTTGATGCCCTTGTGTAACAGGCGATCTCCTGATTACTGCGACCATTAAGTGTTCCCTTAATTTTTTTGAGCAGTCTAGTATACACTGAACAAAAATTTAAACACTTTTCTTTTTGCACCCATGTTTTTTACAGGTTTACATTAAAGAGCTAAGACTTTTTTTACGCACTCAATAGATATTCCTTTAAAACTTTGGTCGCAAATTTGTTAAAATTCATGGTGGATGGTCACAATAAAAGGCCACACTAAAAAACAGACATGATTTGTGAACAGGCTTGTGAGTTCACTCTAATATCTGCAATTCAGTATGCTAAAATCCTAAAATATAAGATCATGGAAAGGAATTGGATGAACTTAAAGGCTGCCAGCCATCTTAAACATATTAAAGATGAGTTTATATTTTCAGTTTTATGTCTCAGAATATGCTTGTATTCTATTTGCCCCTGTAGTGAGGATTTTCTGCGTGTTCTCATCTGAACTTCCCATTAAATCCATCTTATTCCAAGAACCTCTCTCAGTAACACCAGAGCATTTTTTAAAGCTGTTTATTTATTAATCCCCATTAGTTGTTGCAGTAATCCACTGTGCATCTTATTGTTGGAATATACCCATTGCATTACTTTACACTAAACCATTACTGCATTAGCCAACTTGTTTTTGTGACCTATCCTGTTGAAGTAATGCCTCTTAACTGGAACCGATACACCACCTCCGCTGGTGACCTCACCCAAATTACAAAATAACGTGAAACGACTGTTTACCAAAAGTACCCCTTATGAATATTAATTACTCTAAGTTTTTTGGAAAATATGCTAACAGTGGTTGTGTTGTGTGATGCAGGGAGGATGGAGACCAGGAGGGGGAGGTTGCAGAGCTGGGAAGGGAAGAGAGAAGCAATAATTCCTCAGGCTTGTTGTCTAACAGCTCCATGGGCACTGGACAGCTGCAGTCCCCATTACCTCCCCAGTCGAGCCTGGACCTGGACAAACAAGGTAAACAAGCACCTGGTGTGGTGGCTCACATTCTGGAAAGTGTTGCCACAGAAAAGTAAACTTGCTCTTTTATAGAAGACCAACCGAACTAATGGTGAAGCAATTGTCACAGCCATAATACCCTGAAATATTACTCCCATTATCTCATGTTTACAGCAAGCTTGGAAAATAAGCATATGTACAGTAAGAGCTCAGACAGTTTCCACTCGTCACAGATTCATTTGAAGTGGGAGCCTGGCACAGAGCACTAAGCTCTACAGTGTGGTGTATACACGGTTTGCCTTCAGTTTGGTTTATAATAATGCTGAGGTTAGAAAGACCATAAACATATATCATATACATACCATGTCAGACACATGTTCCAAATCCTATTATTTTCTGCTATCCATCATGTGTTACATGCAGCTCTATGGATTTCATTTATGTCTGTTGAATGTCTTGTTTTGATTACACGGTTTGCCGTTTATTTTGACATCACATATTCATTATCTTATGTTATGCATCATTTTCATGTCTCATCTCCTTTTGTTTTCCCCGCTGTTTTCTTGCTCCTTGTGTGTCTTGTGTTGTTGTGTTTGTGGGCGCACGTGTGCATGTCTGTGTCTGTATGTTCGTCTGCATGCACACCCGTTGACATGGCGCTCCAGAGGAGGAGGGCCGTCCCCGCCGCAGACGAACTCCCCGCTTTCTCTTAAAGCCATGAACTCGGTCCAGACAGGCCACAGAAAGCAGGCTGGGCCTGCAGGTAAACAAGCCGAGAGGAGAGAATTACACAGAGAGAATATGCATAAAGTGGTGATTGGGAACAGATCTCATTAACTTTTCTGTGGTAGATGATCAAACTGTAATTAGAGCCTAAAGGTAAAGGGCTGTTGTATGGAGGGGTGCAGGAATGAGTCAGCGTTTTAGCATTCCCGGTTCTCTCATCTTGTCAGGGGTTTTTTTGAATTGGGTTTTGGTCAGATGTCTGTGGTTAACAAAAGCTTGAGAGACTTATGATTCATGTTTTGTTCTACAACACAAAATACGTCAGTAAATGCCCCACTTGTGAACTTTGAAATTGAAATGATTTGAAATATACAAAAATAGTCCTAAAATAACTGGCTTGATAAAGATAAATTACAAGAACAACCATCAATTCACTTAAGTGGAATCCTAAAGCACAAAAGCCCTTCATAAAGAGGGGGAGGGGTGGTGCAATGCGTCTGCTTATATGCTATCAATCATAAACAATTTGCCACAGACCTTATTTTCTACAAAAATCCAAAATAAAATGGAAAAATCCCATAGACTTTTTGACAAGGGAACCAGTGTGAAGCTAACATCCATACCGACCAACAAAAAACATCATCCCTGTGGCACTCTATACGGCCCCAAAGCCTCCTCAGTCTATTCAGTGGATGCCACTAATCATCTAACAGATGATGTCAGACGTATTGAGTTATTTCAGAATGAATTCAGACTTTGCCCTCTTCACTTTTGTATGTATTCAAAATTCAGTCAAGTAAAAAAATCACTTGCACTTACTTAGCAAGTTTACAGTTTGTTCTAAAGACTGCGGTGCATTTTGACAGCTTACACACAAACACAATACAACGTGTAAAGACTTTAAAATGCAGGTCAACAAAACAAAATAAAATGATCATGCATATGGCTCTCATGCTGAATGATTAAACAGGTGAATTATTCAAATAAATGGGGCAAGAGGGCAACTCATAAGGCCCTATGCAAATTAAAAATGATATGGGTTAATTTAAGAGCCACTTTAATGTCTGTCAATTACTTACAGAGCTAAAGAGAAACTCACTGACGCCATAATCTGCAGTTTAAATCAGTCATAGTGCAACAGTCCTATTGAATTTTAATCTCAGTACCATAAAGTGGAATAAATATCTTTTGAAGTTGCTGTATGAATGAATTTAAAACATACAGTATGTGAGCATTGATGGAATAAGTAAAGCAAGTTCAGACATTTTGTTTATCTGTCATCCTTTGAACTGCATCTGTCCAGATGGTGAGCTGGTGATGGGGCTGTCAGACCTGTGCGGTGACGGATGTCCTCAGCAGCTGTTTGGCTGTCCCTTCTCTCTCCCACCCATGGAAGACCTGCGGGATGCTGGCTCAGGCAGTTGTTGTCCCTCAGCTCTAGTCCAGCTCCAGTCCCAGCCCTCCCCTCAGAGCTCCCAGTGGGCCGGCGGCAGCCCTCCGTCCTGCCACGACGACCATCGCCTCCAAGGCTCCTGTTTTTACCAGCTCCACGTGTGTGGTGGACCTTTTGTCTCCGAGGGCCCTGACTGTGATGCGGCAGGCGGCGGGACTGGCTCCCCCCACGGGCTGCAGGTGGAATTCAGCCTGCCGTCTGCCTCGCCTCCCTCATCCTCTGTCCTCCCATCACACTTCCAAACTTTCGGCAGCCTGCTGCACCCCTCTCCCGTCCAGCATCCCCGCTCTCTCACACAGTGAAGGGACAAGGGGAAATCAAAACTGAGTGGTACTCTTCACGGTTTGGCCTGTGTCGAGGTCTTTGATCGGTGTTGGTATTTACACCGGGCTCGATGAAACCAGGAAATAAAGTGCATTTACTTAACTTTGTGAAAAAATGGACCTACTGCCTGTGTTGGTCGGTTACTCGTCTGTCTGAACCCCTTTTTATATCGAGACACTTGATCCTGACATTGCCATTGTGGAATGATGAGTGTTAATCACGACTTTCAGGTGTTGATTATGTGTTTATTAACATTTTATTACCACAACCTGCACCAGGACTGTGATTGGCTATGATTAATACATACTTGTGAAAGCACAGTGCAGGTGACGGAAGCTGCAACGACCCTGCAAACAAACCAGAAGCAAGTGTCTAGCAGTCCTTTTCTTTTTAAAAAACAGATCAATGATTGACAATGTTAACCACTGTTTCTTTGTTTTCTTATTTATCAGGATGGAAAAGTTTAACTGCAGCGAGAGCCAGCAGTAACATGATTTTTAGGTATGTTCTGCATATTGTTCAGAACTTTTGCTGCTGCAGCCGTTTCAGATCTGTTTCTGGTGAGTGCCAGGGTGACATGGTCACTCGAAGTCTGATCACAGAGTAAAATCTGTCCCTTCAATCTTAGATTATTTTATGTAAACATTAATTCTCAATTAAGTCTGTAAATGGCGCCCCCTTTTTGGCTCCTCGTGTCGGTTTTGTTTGCACTTCCAGCCTCCTCCTGACTGAAAACATTTGGTGGAAGAGTCAATCTCACTCAAGAATTTTGTTTAAATATGAAATTAAATGACATTTTCTGAGGTTGAGATTTGGACATGTTTGGAGAAAAAGGAGCTCAATTCTTTTTTGCAGGTTTTATTTTTTGTTTTGCTTTTGTGGAAATTTTCATCCTTGTTCTTTTTTTGAAGATTTACATAGAGATTTATAAAGGTGCAGTGCTTTGTCATCATTTCTGAACACCATTTCTATCATGTTGAATATTTATTACCATCAAGAGCCTGTTTGACCTGCAGAATAGGTAAAAAAAAATAAAATTTGTATATGTAAAATGTACACGCGGACGTTGGTAAGTCACTGAATGCATCACACTTTCTCAGGTTCTGCAACTTTGACGAGACTATTAATCAGTGAGAGTCAGTCACTGTCACTGAACAGGTGTGATACAAACAGATCAGACAGGACTGTAAAAAAAGTAAAGACACATCTTGCTGCTGTAACAGTAAAACACTTGTAATGACGGATGTTGGGGTCCAAAGATCATCCTAGTATGGTATTTAACAGCTCTGGCATCTTTTGCTTGCCTTTTAAATCCAAGGAACATCGCGTCTGAACAAGTGTGAACAGAGTGTCAGCATTTTAAGGTAAGATTTTAATAGCCTTTAGGCCTACCAAAAAATATAGGCTCCTAGAATCACTTAGTTTTGCCATGGATAGATAGTTGCACTCAATTAGAACTTGCTACATTTAGTCATCACAGTTAAACCTAATTATAATATAGGCTTCTAAATCTAAAATCTCTCGTCACAAGAGGTTTTTCTTGAAATAAAATGCATGGATTTAACCAACCAGCCCACCCAATGCAATAACATCAGAAAGGCTGTAACAACATGAAGCTACTGTTTCAAAATCAAAGAATACATTTATTAATTTATTAATTTTTAATTTATATTCTTGCCTATTTCCTGTTGTCAAGAACTCCCTCTGCTTCTATTGACAAAGATTGTAAGTGACTATTAGCCTGGAAATCCAGACCCAAATCTAGAAAGATTTACGGTCTGGCCATGAGTAATGAAAATGGCCCAACTCGAGGGGCGGCACCAAGCATGCATTTGTAAATATCACTGCACGCAATTGGATAACACTACGACCAATCAGAACAATACACGGGGCGACGTATAGGCTTAGCTACCAGCAGAGCTAACTGGTAGATTAGACTCTTGCCGTATCTGGTCGGCAAAACAGCGAAAACGTCCTTCTTGCAAAGGAAAGATTCGAGTGCTGTCTTCTGTTCCTCTTTTAGAGAAAAAGCCAAGTCTAACTCGTTCATTGTAGCGGCCAAAGCTGTTTCAAACAACTGGTGCTCATCCGTAGCCATCTTGCAATGTTTACTGACTGATTCCAGACTTTGTTGTCGCAGCGCTGTCGTCATCTGTTTAGCTCGCCTATATCAGATACACCGATGTGATTGGTGCAGCTTGGTTTCATGGGCATAGGTAATGAGCATCATTACTGATTGCCAGAGTGACTCGCTGAGGAAATTCAAATTGTGCTCTCGCGAGAACTCTGGATTTCCAGGGTACGTGACTATCAGGTTGTTGTCCTTATCTGTTAAACTGAAAGTAATGGGAGTGTACCCATTTTGAGAATGTGTAGTCTGACTCTGTAGCCATCTGAGCTATTGAATTTCTGCAACTGGATTCTTGGGGGGATATTTTTTTCTGGTGGCATCAAATGTTTTTAGAGGTCCAGTGTGTAGGATTTAGGGTGTGTATATTGGCAGAAAAGATATATAATATTCATAACTATGTTTCATTAGTTTATAATCACCTGAAAATCAGAACAGTTGTGTTTTTGTTACTTTAGAATGAGCTGTTGATATCTTTGTACAAAGCAGGTCGTCTTCCACCATGTCTTTCTACAGTAGCCCAGAATGGACAAACCAAACACTGGCTCTAGATAGGGCCATTTGCCTTTTCACATTTTTGCATCTGCCACCATAGTACTACACACTGGGCACACAGTTGGTTGCAATCTGCAACCTCACCACTAGATGCCACTAAATCCCACACATCAGACCTTTAAGGCTGTCACGAGTTGAAGCCTTTAAACAGCTGATAGAGTCAAAACTGATGACTTACCCACTATTAGTTCTTCTGACCGCATCAGTTGATGGACAACTGTGTAAATTATGTTTTTGGTTACAGTCAGGTGTAATTATTCCTGAGACACATTTACCAATGAAAAACATCTTTGCTCTTTTGTGCTTGCACTTAGTGAGTCACTGGTGCTGAGTGAAAACTCAAACATTCATATTTTGTAAACACACTTAGTAGCTGTTGTTGTCAACATCTGTCTTTAGAATAACTGAATGTGCAGCGAGCTGATGTATATTTAGCAAATGCTACCTGCATAAATGACTGTGTGCTCAATTTTAAAGTGACCTATTTACATCACATCTTTCCACACTATTGGCCACTGCAGCAATATGTGATTCTTGCCCACAGGCACTGCACTAATAGCCAAGATAAAAGTCTTGAGTGCTCACCTCCCCTTCCTGTAGCTCCCTGCTGACTTCCTGAAGCCAAAGTTCCTCCTTTAAAACAACAGTGGAGCTACTGCATGCCAATGTACAGTATCCAATACAATATTTATTTATTTAAATCAATCATCCAGTGATTAATCTTTCACTCATATTTGTTTGAAATGCTGCCAGAAATGCTGTTGTGTGCTCAACACTCTGTCACGACAGGAAAGAATCCATTTCCCACCATTTCTCTAAACTATCCAAACAGTTACTGCGAGTTATTCATTTTATTTTTTATTTTTACTGTAACAGACATATTTAGCTTTGTTCTAGTGAAACAGCATGCAAATGTAAAAAAAAAGAAATTGAATGTTACTGTTTTTGAAAGTACATTTTCAGAGGTATTCTTAAATACAAACATACTGATATATTTTATTTTAGAAAGACACTCTGCAAGTATTGTTAGCTTTACAGAACATTCTTAAAAATAAAGGACTTTTCAGTCAGTTTATAGGCTGTGAGGATGGAAATATCCAAATGTGGCAATATTATAACATTGGTAGCTCTGCAAACTTAAACTTGACTTTAATTACCCATACATAGCATTTATTTGTGTTCTTGTACTGTCTACATATAGTGTATCCCACCCTGACTTCACCCTAACTCTTGTTTCACCAGTGAAGCTTTACATGCTGTCTGATATCAGACCAGTTGGAGATAAACCCTGATGTTTGGAGCTGCAGCAGCATAAACCTGTAAACTCTGCTCTAACCCACAAGAAGATCTGCACTGGTTTTGTGGAGCACCAACTACAATGCAGTCTCAGATAATCATTTGATGTCTTCAAATCAATGAAAGGAAGTTATGGCATAAAGGCTTTAAATTTATTAATTTGTCCTCTGCAATGTGTTTCTTTAAGCCATGGGCCCAGACAGTGGAGAGTTGTCCCTCAATCACCTGCAGGGTAAAGACTCTCTGAAGTGACTCTGCATGCTGCCTCAGTCCATATACTTAGAGGGAGTATATTATTTTCAATTACAAGTATGACTATGATATTTACCCCAAATAATCCCACGATTACCAGTATCTGAAATGTCTGCGACCATGTTGTCCATGAAATAAATCATTCAGTAAATGACAGTATGTTATCAATTTTCAGTTACAGCCAGTTTTGAATATCAAATTAAAAGTGTCCTGTTTGTCCTGTCATAGTATCTGATACTGGTTTTGAGTCACCAGCTCACATTACATGAAAATTATCAGACTTTGATAAGTTCATTTGTTGCAGCACATTTATCACTCTTGTCACCCACTTCCTGTGAGCTGCACCACCTCTCCCACCTTTTCCATTGCATCCTCTCCTCTGCCTGGTTCTCTGGCGCCCTCTACTGGTCACAGACCGCAAGTGAAGTAGCAGAGCAAAACCGTCAGATGGAGAACAACGCAACAAGTAGGTTCAAACATACTAAGATACTTTGTTGTGGTCTTGTGGTCTTTGTTGTCTTGGCTGTGCCTCACACAGAGAGTACAGTCGACAGGAAACTTATACTGTTACAATCATGTGCTCAACAAGATAAAATGCACAAAAGTATTTATTGAAAGCCTCCTGTATAAGAACTGTATGTAAAAGTATATTGTTCACAACACATGGGAAAAAAGTTTTGGCAATTTATGTCTCTGCTAATATTTGTTCTAACAAATTTCATGGCATCAGATAAGTGAACTATGTGGATTTTTTTTCTGCACACAGTGTCTGCTGAGAAGCTGCATTACTGTCTGACTCATCTATCTGGAGTCTATCAGCTCTACGTGATGGCTCACACACGCCCATTTTCCACCAAATTAGCTCTGGTTCTTGAACTGGTTCGTCCTTGTTTGCACCAGATTTGTCATCAACAGAGAGTGTTGTGTTACGCACAACAGAAGTAAACATTGGTAGGAAAAAGGTGGACTGCATTGATTACCTGCTTTTATTCTGTCATTACAGATATTTGTTTCTATCCAAAAAACATGCATGGGCCAACTTTTAAGGAGACCACTGTACACTCTTTTTTTCTATAGACTTCTCATGTAAATTTTTTTGTCCTCTCTTTCCAACCTGTAGGATATGACACGCCCACTGGTGTTGTCAAGGTTCGTACTTTAGGTCAAGGAGAACCTGTTATTTTTTGGTTCCAGGTGAGAACCAACTTTTTATGCCTCCACACCGTCGATAGCCGTGGCTGGAGGCGTTATGTTTTCAGGTTGTCTGTCCATCTGTACCATTCTTGTGAAAGTGATATCTCAAGAACAACTCCAAGAATTTCTTCAAATTTGGCACAAATGCCCACTTGGACTCAACGATGACATAATTCGTTTCTGGTGATCATAGGTCAAAGGTCAAGGTTACTGTGACCTTGTCCGTCTTATTCTTATTCTTGCGATATCTCTACAACCCCTTGACAGAGTTTCTTCAAATTTGGCTCAAATGTTCACTTGGGCTCAATGATGAACTGATAAGATTTTGGTGGTCAAAGGTCAAGATCACAATGAACCTGCAAACATCACATTGTCAGGAACGTGATATCTAAAAAACACTTTGAAGTAATTTCTTCAAATTTGGTACAATTGTCCAATTTGAATCAGTGATTTACTTGTTAGATTTTGGTGGTTATAGATCAAAGATCAAAGTCATTGTGACCTTGTCTGTCTAATTCTCATGAACGCAATATCTCAATAATGCCTTGAGGGAATTTCTTCAAACTTGGCACAAACGTCTAATTGGACTGAAGAATAAACCGATTGGAATTTGGTGGTCAAACGTCAAAGG